TTCCCCATAGTGGTTAGCATAGTGCTGTGTGTGTAGTAGTTGCTCATTAAATGCTTACCAATTTATTGCCCTTGCTGTAAAATCTGTTCTCTAGTTTTTGATAACATTTTGGGAGCCTATGTCTTAAACTGATTTTTTAAAAAATATAATCTTTTGAGTATAATTGTCATAACAAATGTCTCATATTTAAAGTGTCCATAGTGGTTAGCATAGTGCTGTGTGTGTAGTAGTTGCTCATTAAATGCTTACCAATTTATTGCCCTTGCTGTAAAATCTGTTCTCTAGTTTTTGATAACATTTTGGGAGCCTATGTCTTAAACTGATTTTTTAAAAAATATGATCTTTTGAGTATAATTGTCATAACAAATGTCTCATATTTAAAGTGTGTAATTTGATATATTTTGACATATTTTGTAATTTGATATATTTCATATACACATGAAACCATCGCCACAATCAAAATAGTCAACATATCCATCACCCCACGAAGTGTCCCTGTTTCCCTTGGGAATTCCTCTCTGAACCCTCACTCCACCCATCCCTAGGCAACTTGCTGATCTGCTTTCTGTCACTATAGATTAGTTTACATTTTATAGAGTTTTGTGTAAATAAAATCACATAGTGTACTTTTAAAAAAATCTGGCTTCTTTTACTTAGCATACTTATTTTGAAATAATTCCGTAATAATAATTGTTACATGTATCCATAGTTCATTCTTTTTTAGTGCTGGATGTATTTCATGGTTTGTTTATCCTGTTGATGGTGGAAGGATTCATGTATTGTGTATATTCTGTAAAGCTTTTTTCCCCTGAACTTTCCTCATTGCCTAAAAGGAGAGCCCCCCCAAAACTGTGGAGTTTTACAACCACAGAAGATTGACTCCTATCACTAGAGATGAGAAGTTGGTACTGGGATAAGAAATCACCTAAACGGGCCGGCCCGTGGCTCACTCGGTAGAGTGCGGTGCTGATAACACCAAGGCCCCGGGTTCGGATCCCATATAGGGATGGCCGGTTTGCTCACTGGCTGAGCGTGGTGCTGACAACACCAAGCCAAGGGTTGAGATCCCCTTACCGGTCATCTTTTTAAAAAAAAAAAAAGAAATCACCTAAACGAACATTGTCACAAAACTATTATATCTCCCATTTATTCTTCTAAGATCCCATTTATCTTTCCTAAAAGTCATTTGTCTTCCCATTAGCACCATCTCCCGGTCCCCGTACCCTAGTAGATGGTATATAAGCACCATATTCTAACTGCCTCCCTGAGTCACATTTTTCTTTGTGTACATAGGTGAATAAAAATCTGTCTTTTTTCTTGCTAATTTGTCTTTTGTCAGCTTAATTCACAAGCTCCCAGGCACTAACCTATGAGGGTAGAAGTTTTTCCTCCCCGACAATGGATATTTAGATTATTTTCAATCTTTGGCTATTACAAGTAAAGCTGCTACGGATGTTTGTGTACACGTCTTTGCATGGACATATGCTTGCTTTTCTCTTGGATAACTACCTAGGAGTGGAGTGGCTGGACATTTGGTAGATGTATACTTAACTTTTAAAGAAACTTTAAAACTTTTTTGAAGTGGTTGTACTATTTTATATTCTCACCAGCAGTTTATGAGAGTTCCAGTTGCTCCACGTACTGGCCAACATGTGTTATTTCTATCTTTTTGATTATGGTCATCCTAATAGGTGTAAAGTAGTGTCATTGTAGTTTTGATTTGTATATTCCTGATGACTCTTGTACAGGCATTCTTTGGTTAACTGTCTGTTTAAATCTTTTGCTCGTGTCTTTTTTGGGCCATCTGTTTTCTTTTTCTTGGTTAATGAAAGTTCTTTAGGTATTCTGGATACAAGTCCTTTGTCAGATATGTGATTTGCAAATATTTTCTGTCAGTTTGTGGTTTATCTTTTCATTCTCTTTAGCAATATGTTCTGAAGAGCATTTTTAATTTTGACGAAGTCTGATTTACCAGTTTGTTCTTATGGATCTTGCTTTTGGTACTGTATCCAAGAAATCTTTGCCTAACTCAAGGTCATAAAGATGTTCTCCTGTGTTTTCTTTCAGAAATTATGGTTTTAGGCTTGCTGATTAATGATTCATTTTGAATTAATTTTTATATGTAGTTCAAGGTATGGAGAAATTTATTTATTTTGGCTTATGGAGAGAGATCCAGTTGTTCAAGCATCATTTATTGAAAGAACTATCTTTTCTCCAATGAATTGCCTTTGCACTTTGTCAAAAATCAGTTATTCATATATGTGTGGGTCGATTTTTTATCCTGTTCCATTGATCTATTTGTCTATCTTAGACAATGTATGCTAGTTAGTATAATATTAGACAATATTATACTAAATTTATTCCTGTGGTTTTATAGTAAATATTAAAATCAGTATTTCAGAGTCATTTTGGCTATTTTAGGTCTTTTTCATTTTCATGTGAGTTTTGGAATCAGCTCATGAGTTTCCTACACAAAAGTCTTCTTGAATTTTCATTAGGATTGCATTGAATCAATTGATCAATTTGGGGAGAATTGGCGTCTTAAAAATATTTAATCATTCAGTCCATAAACAGGGTATATCTCTCCATTTATTTAGGTTATTGATTTGAGATCTTCTTGTTTAACGTAGGGGTTTATAGCTATAAATTTCCCTCTAACTACTGCTGTAACTGTATTCTTATAAGATTCCATCTGATAAGTCTTCATTTTCATTCATCTCAAAGTACAGTTGACCTTTAAACAATGTGGGGATTAGAGGCACTGACCTTGACTCTCTTCCCTAGTTGAAAATTCCTGTGTATTTTTTTTTGCCCTGTGTTGGAATGAGGCTTGCCAGTGCTGAGTACCCTGTGGGAAGTCAGCTCGGCCCCTGAAGGTGGCACAAAGCCCAGCAGCAGCTGGAGCGGGCAACCCAGGGATGCCAGCATGGCTAGAGAACATGCAGGTGGCATGTAGCAGCTACAGCTGGCCCCAGTACACACGAGGCTACGTAGTGGGTTTCTGAGGTGCCCTACCAGTCCCTGACCAAGTTGTGGTGCCACTGGTGCCTTGCCCCTCTTCTGTATATATATTTGAAGAAAATACACATATAAGTAGACCTGTGCAGTTCAAACCCGTGTTGTTGAAGGGTCAACTGTGTTTTCTAATTTCTCTTGTGATTTCTTCTTTAACCTATTGGTGATTTAGGAATGTATTGTTTAATTTCCACATATTTGTGAATTTACCAATTTCCTGCTGTTATTAAATTCAAATTTCATTCCACTGTTATTGGAATACATAATTTGTACAAAATCAGTATTTTCAAATTGATTGAGGCTTGTTTTATGGCCTGGTATATAGCCTATTTTAGTGAATGTTTCATGTGCAATTGAGAAAAATGTATGTTCTGCTCCTGTTGGGTGGTGTGTCTGGCTGTTTTGTTGTGTTGTTCAGGTCTTCTATTTCCTTGTTGACCTTCTGTCCATTTGTTCTACCTGTTATTGAAAGTAGGGTCTTAAAGTCTCCAAGTATTGTTGTAGAACTGTGCACTTCTTCCTTTAATCTTGTCAGTTTTGCTTTATGTATTTTGGGGCTCCATTGTTAGGTTCACATATGTCTGTAATTGTTATATCTTCCTAATGGATTGACTCTTTTTTTATTTTTTTAAAAAGATGACTGATAAGGGGATCTTATCCCTTGACTTGGTGTTGTCAGCACCACGCTCTCCAAAGTGAGCTAACCGGCCATGCCTATATAGGAATCCGAACCCGTGGCCTTGGTGTTATCAGTACCACACTCTCCCAAGTGAGCCATGGGCCAGCCCTGGATTGACTCTTTAATTATTACAAAATGTCCCTCTTTATCTCTAGTGAAATTTTGTTTTAAAGTCTTTAAAGTCTTTATTAGTATAGCGAGTCTAGCTTTCTCGTGGTGGTTTGTGTGATATATCTTTTTCCATCCTTTCACTTTCAATCTCTGTATCTTTGAATCTAAAGTATCTCCTGTAGACAGGATATGTAGTTGGGTCTTGTTTTTTATCTAGGCTTGCAAACTGTGCTATTTTACTGGATTTCTTAATCCATTTGCTTTTTTTTTTTTTTTTGAAGATGACTGGAAGGGGATCTTTGGCTTGGTGTTGTCAGCACCATGCTCAGCCAGTGAGCGAACCGGCCATCCCTGTATAGGATCCGAAACCATGGCCTTGGTGTTATCAGCACCGCACTCTCCTGAGAGAGCCATGGGCCGGCTCTTAATCCATTTGCTTTTAACGTTACTATTGATAATAGTTGGATTTACATCTGCCATTTTACATTTTGTTTTCTATATGTCTCATATCTTTTTTGTGCCTCTATTTCTCCTTTACTGTTTTCTTTTGCATTAAGTCAATATTTTCTTATGTAATGTTTTAATTTCTTTAATGTCTTTTCACTATATTTTTTTGAGTTATTTTCTTAGTGATAGCTTTAGGGTTTACCATATACATTTAACTTGGTCAGAATCTACTTCAGTCTAGGTCTTAGTCAGCTTGGGCTGCCATAACAAAATATCATTGACTGGGTGGCTTAAACAATAGACATTTATTTATCACATTTCTGGAGGCTGGGAAGTTTAAGATCAAGGAGCTGGCTTGTTTGGTTCCTGATGAGAGCTCTCTTCCTGGCTTGTAGACAGCTGCCTTCTCACATGAGGAGGAGAGAGTGAGATCTCTCTCTCTTCCTCTTACCACTAATTCCATCATAATAAAGGCCCCACCCTCATTACCTCATGTAACCTTAATTATCTCCCAAAGGCCCTGTTTCCAAATGTTATCACATTGGGGGTTAGGGCTTTAATTTGTGAATTGGGGGGGGAGGGGGGGCACAAGCATTCAGTCCAGAACAGTCTATTTCTTATGTATCATTTAATTCCTCTCAGTAGTGCTTTGTAGTTTGGGTATATAGGTTTTGTCAGATTTATTTCTTAAGAATTTTATATTTTTTGATGCTATTACAAATGGTAAATTTTGAATTTTGATTGTTTATTGAATTGATTTTTTTTGTATATTGATTTTATATCCTGCAACCTTGCTAACCTCATGTATTTGGTAGCTTTTTTGTAGACTCCATCAAATTTTTCTCCATAGATGTTCATGTCTTCAGAAAATAGACACTTTTACTTCTTTTTTTCCAATTGGTTTCCTTTTATTTATTTTTCTTGCCTATCACATTGGCTAAGCTGCCAGTATAATATTGAATAAAATGAGGTCAGACATTCTTGTCTTATTTCTCATCTTAGGAGGAAAACACTCAGTTTTTCACCATTAAATATGTCAGCTTTATTTTTTTTGTTAGATTTTTTTTTTATCAGATTGAGGACATTTCCTTCTATCTCAGTTTGCTGACAATTTTTGTCATAATGGATGTTGGATTTTATTAAATGCTTTTTTTACATCTATTGAGATGATCATATGGTTTATGGTTCTGTTGTTTTAGTCTGCATTACTTTTTTTATAAAAATTTATTCCCTTTTATGATCTGTCTACCTGATACATTTCATCAGAGATATTTTTTTAAAGTGGTGATCTGATTATAATAGTGATTTTAATCCCCATTTGTTTTCTTCTTTCCTGATTAGTGAGTGAGAGCTACAAGGCTGAATTCATAGAGCTAAAGAAGTGGCTGAAAGATAGGAAGTTTGAAGATAGAAACTTAACACCTGCCCGTTTTCCTGGTAAGATCTGTTCTCCTGACCTTTCTTACCTGAGAGCCATGCGGAAAGTGGGGGCGATTTTTGCAGGTGGGCTGTATTCTCTCTGGGAACACATCTACTGCTGTGTGTTGCGCTTTCTGCCTCCTCACTGTATTATTGTTCTTCACTTTGTTCTAAAAATAAATTTGAGTGGCTTGTGGAGAGAAATTTAAAAATGATAAAATAAAATTAAAAATTGGAGAATGAGAAACTTCAGCCCTGAGAGTTGAGTAGCTGTGCAGTGGCGCCTTGGTGAAGGCCCTTCTCCGGTGGCAAGTCTCAGGAAACTCCTGCGCAAGATTGAGAAGCGGAAGCTCAGATGGCCGCAGCAAAACCTAAAGCTGCAGGGGCCTCCATGTGAGCCTGTTGGAAACTCAAAATGGAGATTTGTCTGAAGAAACTGTGGAAGTTGGAAGAGTTAAAAAATCCCTGAAATGTTCTATAATGGGCTCCTCAGAAGCCCAAAATGGAGACATGTCTAAAGAAACAGTGGAAAAGGTAAAAGTTAAAAAATCCCTTCAGAAATCCACCGTATTAACCAGTGGAGAAACAGCAACACAGTCTCCCAATGCAGAATCAAAAAAGAAGAAAAAGAGAAAAAATGGTGAAGGATGCTGGGCCTGATACAAAAAAAGCAAAAACTGAAAACAAAGGGGAATGAGAAGGCGGCGGGGCTGGGGCTCTTGGAGAAACAAAACAGTGTGGAGAAGCCAGATAGCGAGGAAGGGGACAGTGAAGAGCCCAGCCTGCCCCTGGGACTGACAGGAGCTGTTGAAGATACTTCATTGCTTCTCTAGCTAATCTTATCAATGAAAACACTCTGAAGACAGTAGAAGTAATAGGCCTTAGGAGCAGGACTGAAATTCTGCATAAAAGTATCAGACCACTTCTGGAAGGCAGAGATCTTCTTGCAGCTGCAAAAACAGGCAGTGGCAAAACCCTGGCATTTCTCATCCCTGTGGTTAAACTTATTGTTAAGTTAAAGATCATGCCCAGGAATGGAACAGGAGTTCTCTCACCTACTAGAGACCTGGCCATGCAGACTTTTGGTGTCCTTAGGAGCTTATGACTCATCATGTTCACATGTGTGGTTTGATAATGGGTGGCAGTAACAGATCTGCTAAAGCACAGAAACTTGCTAATGGGATCATCATTGTGGCTGTCTCCTGGATCATATGCAGAATAGCCCAGGGTTTATGTATAAAAACCAACAATGTCTGGTTATTGATGAGTCTGATTGTATCTTGGATGTTGAATTTGAAGAGTAATTAAAGGAAATTATTAAACTTCTGCCAATACATAGATAGACCATGCTCTTTCTTGCCATACAACTCGAAAAGTTGAAGACTTGGAGAGGATTTCTCTGAAAAAGGAACCATTGTATGTTGGCGTTAATGATGATAAAGCTAAATCAGTGTGGATGGTCTTGAGCAGGGATATGTTTATCCCTCTGAAAAGAGATTTCTTCTGCTTTTTACATTCCTTAAGAAGAACTGAAAATCTGTGAAATATGAGTTCAGCTACGAGTTGCTGACCACACTGATCTGTCTGAATTGACCATTCATGGAAGGCAGAAGCAAAATAAGCGTACAACTAATTCTCTTCCAGTTCTGCAGTGCAGATTCAGGGATGTTGTTGTGTATAGATGTGACTGTGAGAGGGCTGGATATTCCTGAAGTTGACCGGAATGTTCAGTATGATCCTCCAGATGACCCTAAGGAATATAATATATTTACTGTGTGGGTAGGACAGCCAAAGGCCTGAACGAAAGAGGGCATGCCTTGCTCATTTTGTGCCCAGAAGAATTGGGTTTACCGTCATTACTTGAAGCAATCCAAGGTTCCATTAAGTGAATTTTACTTTTCCTGGTCCAAAATTTCTGATATTCAGTCACAGCTTGAAAAATTGATTGAAAAGAACTGCATCCTTCATAAGTCAGCCCAGGAAGCATGTAAGCCATATGTACGAGTGTATGATTCCCATTCTCTGAAGCTGATCTTTAATGTTAGTACTTAAATTTGCCTTAAATTTCTCTGTTATTCGGTTTCAAGGTGACTCCTTTTGTTGATCTGAACGTAAACAGCAATGAAAGCAAGCATAGAAAGAGAGGAGGAGGGGCCTGCCCGTGGCTCACTTGGGAGAGCGTGGTGCTGACGACACCATGTCAAGGGTTAACATCCTGTTACCAGGCATCTTTAAAAAAAAAAGAAAGAGAGGAGGAGTCAGTAGATTCAGCTACCAGAAAACCGAGAAAGTTGAGAAATCCAAAATCTTTAAAATCATTAGAAATCATCTGACAACAGGTAGTTCTCTCACTGAAATCACACATTTTCATTTTGGATAACTTTGTCCTGAAGTGGATTTCTTTTCCCTTGCTCTAACAAATGAATTTTTTAGCCTTTATACTTTGGATTGATCTAACAATATAAATTGACTTGGGTTGTAAGCACTGAACAATCTTATTTCTAGCAAGTCTTATTTTGGGGATATAAAGCAGACTTTAATATTTCTTAGTTACCCAAAGACAAAGCAAGGAATTGTTCGGGTCTTTATTGTGATGATACAGTATTTTAATTTTAAATATTCCCCCCCCAAAAAAAAATTTTTGTGTCATTGTTTTAATATAATTTTTTGTATTTTTGCTTCCTGATATGTGAATGTTCTTGTGGCCTGGATCGCTATACTAATGTGCTGTAAAAGGTGATATAGTGTACTGGACAGGTGGTGGTAATGCAGAAAATAGTTTCATCTTATTTTTTGGTTTTATTTATTTCTTGGATCTTAATGGTATCTTTTGACTCCTCCTAAAAATGCCACAGTATAAAAGGGCAAAGAGCTTTGGGAAATACCTAACAAGCAACTTAGGATAAAGGTGGCATCACTTTTATATATTCCTGATTTTTAAAACAATGAGCCTTTCTCAGTTTTGTTTTGTTTTTTAAGAGCAAGAAATTTGGGTTATTTGTCATTATTTGAATGATGTATCCTTAGTACTGTTAACATCGTGGGGGTGGGGTAGGGAAGGGAAGCACAATTGAGATTTTCGAGCCTTATTTACACAAGTATAGGTATAGTATTCTGCTATTCTCCATTTGATAACTTAGCAAACATCTTTTTTAAAAAAACACAAAAATGGTAATACTTGTCATTCAGATTTGTTTATTTCATGGTGGTTCAGATTTTGGTTTTTTTGTTTGTTTTGTTTCTATTGGTTATGATATTCATGGGGTACAAAGCAAATTGTCACCACTTGTGCCTAAGATGTGATGGCCAGATCCATACTGGCAGCATGTCCATTACCACAAATTGTGATTATACCCCTTGTCACTCACCCAATTATCCTCTCAATTATCCCTGACTTCCCTCCCTATCCCCCTTCCCCCGCTCCACTTTGTATCCCTAGGTATGTTCTCTCCCTGTGCAAGTCCAATGCACCACTGTGGTCTTTCTTTCCTTTCTTCTTTATCTCTTCGCTCCCACTTATGAGAGAGGACATGCGGTATTTATCCCTCTGTGCTTTGCTTATTTCACTCAACATAAGTTTCTCCAGGCTCATCCATGTTGTTGCAAATGGGAGAATTTCATTGTTTTTTATGGCAGAGTGGTATTCCATGGTGTATATATACCATAGTTTCCTTATCCAGTCATCCATCGATGGACATTTAGGTTGATTCCATATCTTGGTTATTGTGAACAGAGCTGTGATGAACATGGGAGTGCAGGTATCCCTTTGACATGATGTTTTCCATTCCTCTGGGTATATACCCAGAAGTAGGATTGCTGGATCGTATGGAAGATCTATCTGTAGTTGTTTTGAGAAACCTTCATACTGTTTTCCATAGTAGTTGTACTAATTTATAGTCCCAGCAACAGTGTAGGAGCGTTCCCTTCTCTCCACACCCTTGCCAGCATTTGTTATTCTCATTCTTTTTGATTATAGCCAGTCTAACTGGGTGAGATGATATCTCAATGTGGTTTTAACTTGCATTTCCCTGATGACTAGTGATGTTGAACATTTTTTCATGTACCTATTGACCATTTGTGTATCTTCCTTCGAAAAATATCTATTCAGTTCCTTTGCCCATTTTTTAATTGGGTTGTTTGTTTTTTTACTGTGTAACTGCTTGAGTTCCTCGTGGTTCAGATTTTGGTAAGCCCTTCCTACTCTGCAGAGTACTTAGGAGAAAGTGCCAACTGTTGGTAGACTTAAAGCCAAGCCATCAGACAGTGCTCAGCATGCCTTAATGTTAGTTTCTTAGAAAAATTACCTCTTGCAGATTGAAGAAAATGAACAGAGGTCAGAAAAATAATAGCAAAATCAGTTATTCAGTCAGGTGGGCTTTTTATTATAGGTGCACTTGATTTCTAGTGTGTTTTGAATAGTATAAACAACAAAATAGCTCCAATTTGTAGCAATTCAAAACCAGGGGTGCTAGCATCATTTTGCTGTTGTGCCAGTTAATATTCACAGAGTCCCATTAAATGTTAAGTACACTGAGGAAATGGTCTGATAAATAGCATTCCAGTGGGAAAAGAAAAAAACAATGTTCTGGCCCTGGGCTTGACCACTGTCACCCCTGCTGGACCTGTCCTGGGCTTGGATCAGAAGGCTGTCACCCTTGCTGGACCAGACCTTGATTGCTGGGCTCCTGGCTTGGCTTCTTGGGTTTCTGACTCTTGGCATTTAGCAACTATTCTTCTTTTCAGTACCTTGGTTTTTTTTGGATTTTTTTTCCCCAGAAATAATCATGTTTTAAAAATACACAAAAGCAAAGGAAAAATATTTAATCACTGAACAGAAGTGAATTCTGTTAATATTTTGGTATATAACCTTCCAGTTTTTTGTATGCATGTTAATACTTTTTAGTTTTTTTTTAATTAAAAGTACCGTGAGAAGACTGATGACACCTTGTTAGCTCACATGCCAGGGAGCAAAGAGCTTAGGGAGGTCCTGCTATGCTTTCTTAGCCCCAGGACAATCCCCTGGCATGTTATTTTTGTAGAAAGATGCATTTTTAACAATCTGAAGCAAAGGAGCCTGAGGTTAGATGAGTTTGTCTGTGGTTGATGTTGAAATAATGTCAGGGCTGTGTAGGATGCTAGACAGAGGGATTCAGTCAGTCCCCATTGGTGTGACTTTATTTTTATTGGGGCTTTTGGTGCAATTATGCTTCAAACCAGAGATTTCATAGTCTACTACTGTAGGGGGACCACAGACTACGGCCTGTGGGCATGTGGCCAGAGGGCCTTGAGCTAAGACTGGTTTTTACAGTTTACAGGATTGTAATAAAACAACAACTCGCCACAGAGACCACATCGGGCTGGCAAAGCCTAAAATATGTACTCTCTGGCTTTTTACAGATAAAGCTCTTTGGCACTGCTATGTCTTCCTCCCCCAGGCGCTCAGTTTATGTGACTGATAAAGTGCTGTCGATCTCATCTGTCCAGTGTTGGGTGTCATGTGTTTGGTCATCCTCAGAACCCCAGAGCAGGACTCTCTCCCTCACTCGTATAACTTCGTATAATGTATGCTATACGAAGTTATTACGCATTAACTTCCTCATATATCCCCCAAGATAAGTGATTTCCCATTTGTGCCCCTGGCTGAGTGAGTTGATGGGTGTAAAGTTTCTCTCATGAGTCAGTTAGACGTGTTGACTTTGGGCAGTGGTCCTGTAGTGACTGATTTTTTGCTGCCTTATATTCCCTCTCAGCTGAGAGAAAAAAGGTCAACAACTATGAATATGGAGAGATTAATACTCTAGGCCTTTTATGGTCATTTAATACCTGTGCTTCACAGAAAAGCTGTCATCTGAGCATCCTTTTAGTGTCCATCTGACTGTGTTCCAGGAGGGGAAACTTGGGCAAGAAGGGCTAAACTTCTGTAAGTTGGAGGAGTGTTAACAGTGCAGCTGTTGTAGTTACTGTTGTGACTGCTCCAGCCAGAGCCCTGGCTCACAGGAGCAGCTGGCCCTGGCTCATCCACACTCACCCAGGTTATGGAGAGCCCAGCTAATGGGTTACCTGGTCAGGGAGGGGGGGAGGTAGGCTGCAGGCTTTGTGGGACCAGGGTGGGGTTTACTGGCCAGTCAATCAGTATCATTACTGGGGAAGGCTGAGTCTGGGAGTGGGTAAAGGTGGCCTGAAGGGGTGGGCATTAGGAGTAGGGCCCTTCTCCCTGCCAGCTGGTAGGTCCCAGGGGAGAGAGTCCAACTTGAAGGTTCCTGCAGGAGACCCAGAAGCAGATCTGTATAAAATCTGTGGTGGTCTCCAAGTTCCAATTCTGAAGCTTACTTAGCCCTTCAAGGATTATGAACCCACAAAGAGGTCAGGATATTTTCCACCATAGCTTCCAGACTCCATTTCCCTGGGAGTCAAAGGCTGTGAGACTCCTAGCATCAGCTTTGTGTCATTTTGAAATTCATTCATATTTTTTATTCTAAGTGGTGTCTAGGACTGTATTAGTCCATTTTGTGTTGCTGTAACAAAGTACATGGAACTGGGTAATTTGTAAAGAAAATGAAGTTTATTTGCTTACAGTTTCTGAGGCTGGGAAGTCCAAAGTCCATCTGGTGGTGGCAACAGTGACCTAGGGGACTCACATTGCAAGTTGTGGAAACAGAGCAGAGAGAGAAAGATAGACTCTCCTCTTCTTTTAAAGCCCTCCGAACCACACCCCGGACCACCATTTTTAATCCATTCACTACTACAGTGTCCTACAATCCAATCACCTCTTCAAGGCTCCACCTTTCAATCACCATAATAGGATTTCCCATGCTCTTAACAGTCTCAGTGAGTGTCCTACAATCCAATCACCTCTTCAAGGCTCCACCTTTCAATCACCATAATAGGATTTCCCATGCTCTTAACAGTCTCAGTGGGGGCTAAGTTTCTAATACATAAAACTTGGGGAATACAATTCAAGCTTCAATGAGTTTTGGGGGGACATAATTCAATCCAGTACAAGGACCTTGAAGGCATAGTAGAATTTACCCTTTTTCCGTCTTTGCTAGGTACAGGAAGAGGGCTGCTGAGCAGAACATCCTTGCAGGTGAGAATTTCTATTTTATCCTTGAAGCCCAGTGTTGATTTTGCTGCTTTGTTTTTGTGGTTCAAATCAAGTGAACTAAAACTATTTCAGACATTCAGGCATTTCTTACTTATCCAATGGATGTGTTAGAATACAATTCTGTCAACTAGGATTAAGTTTTCTGCATATAAAAGACAAGCCCAAAGTCACAGTGCTGAAACAGCACGAAGTTTATTTTGCTCTCATAGAAACAAGGCTGGAGTAGGCAGTCCCACGGCCATCAGAGTTCCATACTCCTTCCAGCTCTTTGTTAGATCCCTAAGAGAACCCCACACCCTCAGATCCAGGGTGAGGCTCTTAAAGCAGGAGCAGCAGGAGGGAGCAAGGGGTGAGGAAGGGCAGGCTTCATCACTTTAAGGAAATTCTAGCCCCGCTCTCAGTGGCCAGTGGTCAGGTACACAGCCTGGCTAACTGCCGGCGGGGGAGGGCGTCCCCAAATGGGATTCTGTTAATGAGGAGGAGAGAAGGTGTGTGGGGCAGGCAATAGCAGTCTTATACAAATTTTATAAACCAGATCATATTTCAGATCTGAGAGGCTGTGCATAGCATGGTTAGTAGAACCCAGGCAAGTGGTGGGAGGAGGCCTCGGACCCTGTCCCAGGATGACCTTCTACTGTCTGTGGGACCCAGAACAAGACTCCTAATCCTCTTGGCATCTGTTTTTTCACCTGTAAGATGAGGTAAATGATGTAGATGATCTCTAAGGTCCCTTTTAGTTCTTTCTGTGCTATTTTAAAGGATACGTAATGCACAATTTACTGTAAAGCTAGAAATGAATTCCTTCCTTTATTTTAAAGGTTTTCTTATTTATTTAAAAATTATCTTTATTTTTAATTCCTTAATTTAATTTATTTTAATCTCAACTGTGTATATATGTTTAACCTAAAGTATGGTACCTTTTAATGTTGTAATTTTATTATGCTGTTTTTATTATTTAAAATTTTTTAATTGTGGTGAAATCTATGTAACATAAAATTTATCATCTTAGCCTTTTTTAAGTGTACAGTTCAGTAGTGTTAGGTACATTCACATTTTTGTGGAATATTTTTATTTTTTGAGGAAGGTATAAATTGACTTTATTCTGTAGTAGAATTTGGGGAGGAGAAATATATCTTTCATATATATACAGCAGTAACAATGACTAGTTTTTGTTTAGATCATGAAATGATAATTAGCATTTGCTTCATGTGTACTTTCAAATATGACTTTCTAATTAAACTTTTTGAAAATTGAGACATATTTTACCTGTAGGGAAATGCACAGATCTTAAGTGTAGAGTTTGATGCATTTTGATGGTAAAGAGATATGCCCCAATCAAGAGATAGCCCATTTATTAAGTGTTTTTTTTAAAGCAGAAAGTAATGGGATGTCAGAGCTGGAAGGAACTGTAGTGATCATCCAGCTTAATGTTGCTTTACAGAGGAGGACAGCAGAAATTGAATGCAGAAGATTTTTGGCTGAGATTTTTAACCAACTTAGATGCCAGTTAAAATGAGAGCAGGATCTTACATCTAGCTTCTTACTGCTGTATTTGTTTCTGGTATCTGTTACTTTACATCTTAAATTTTCTATCTATTGTTCTATCTCAGTGGGAGAAACTGAAAACTATGTTTTTGCAAGCAGTAGAATTAGATCCTCATTGTGTTAGGTAGGCTGCCCTTTCTCTAGCTAGTTAGCACAGGTTATGTAGAGAGTAGACCATTGCCTGGTCCCTTGGGTTTCACTGGACAGAGTTTTCTTCGTGATTTCTGCCTGTTTCCCCCTAGGTAGCACTATTTTCTAGCATACGAAAGTAAAGGAACAATGTGATTTGAGTTGTCAAAGTGTTTCCACATTCTGTTCTGGTGAAAGATTAGTGGTGGGTATCGATCATGTAACTAACCTTTATTTCCTTCTGGGGTTGTAGTACCTAGTGTTGGAGCAGCTCTGTATCTGCTGACTGAGGGAGTTGGGAGCGAGTCCATTGGTGGTTTGTGGTTGGGTTATACTGGGTTCTTGGTAGATGATTATGGTGCAGAGCTTTACAAAACTCATCCTCAAGGTCCTTCCCAAAACATGGACATCCTAAACTTTACTTTCTTTTTGGCAAGGAGGGAGAGATTATTATTTCATTGCCGGAGAGTTGCCTGCTCACCACGGACACAGTGATTCGAAGCTACTTAGGGGTGTACATTACTAAGTAAGTTACCACACGCATACTCATCTGGTGCAAGTGCTTCTCCCTGAGAGTCTCTCATTGGCAACTATGTCATCTAAGGCACAGGTCATTTGGACCTAGCCCCTTGGATAGCTAATAAATATCTGAAAGGTTTACTCTTTTCTAGGAAGTTTGTTCTTAATTCATCATAGACTACATTTTTAAGGTTTTTAATGAGATGCCCGGGATGTGGGAATGAATCCTGATCCCTTCTTAACTAGAAAATGAAGATTAAATGGGATAATATATGTAAATCATAGCCTGTTCTCCTCCATTGTAGTGGGTCTTGACAAATGTTAATCTCATTTTTATTTTTACCCTCATTGTACTTGCTTGAATTCTTCAACTATGAAGAGCTGTTGACATTATGAAATCATTAGTTTTATTTAGACATGGAAGAGAGGAGGCTGATATGGGAGTTGAGCTCTATTTTCTGGCTCAAGTTATGGTAAGCCTTTGTTTTGGGGCACCTCTGAGGAAAGAGTGGGTGAGAGCCTCAGCAGAAGGGATTTCTAAATTAGGAGGGTTGCAAGATTGTACTGTTTCATAACCCAAGGTGACTTTTGGACTCTTTTTTCCCCTAGCATATTCTTGGGAAGAGGGCTAATGCACCTTTATAGGCCTGAGTAGAGGCAGGTATGCTCTTGGTATTAATATTTTCTGATCATTCTGAAATTTTGAGTAGAATGTTTGGTAATATAAGAGTCTAAACTTTGAAGGATTAATGAAAACTTCTTTACATTCATGCAACATGAGATCTTTTTATTGATAATTGTGCACAAGAAAAATACAAATGGTCCCTAACTTATGATGGTTCAACTTAAGGTTTTTTGACTTTATGATGGTGAGAAACCATTGCAAATTACATGAGATATTCAATTCCTCTCTTCTCTTCTATGCCTAAATAGAACTTTATTATGAAATAGGCTTTGTGTTAGATGATTTTGCCCAACTGTAGGCTAATGTAAGTATTCTGAGCACATTTAAGGTAGGCTAGGCTAAGCTGTGATGTTTGGTAGGTTAGGTGTATTAAATGCATTTTAACTATTTTCAACTTATGATGGGTTTATTGGGATATAACCCCATCATAAGTTGAAGAGCCTCTGTGTTATTATATGTCATTTGTAATAAAGCAGGTAAGTTTAGGAATAAAAGTTTTAGAACTGCAATGAATATATAATGAGCATATTTAATTTTTGGTCTCAGTGCCATGCAATAGAACTTTTGGCAATGACAAGAGGTTTTTACTCTGTGTTTTCCAATATGGTAGCCACTAGCCACAGATAGCTGTTGAGCTCTTGAAATGTTAGCTGAGGAATTTAATTTTAAATATTATTTAATTTTACATAATTAAAATTTTAATTTAATAGCTACATGTACTCCAGTGGTTACTATAATGGATGGTGTAGGTCGAAGTTCTTTCCACCAGTTTTTTCCCCTACCGTGTTTTATATCTCTGTCCAGTTGAAATAAATGAATTATGTCAAAAGCTTTAAAACTGGAGAACCACGTTGAAAGTAAAGAGGTTTTTCGCAAAAAGAAATTTCTTGCAGACAGCCTGGAACTTGGGTTAGTGAGTCAATTTTTCTGACATAAATATGGCTTGTTCAGAGCTCTTGTTTTGGGGGTGTGCTCTGGAGAGAAAAAGCCTTAGGGAAGGAAGGAACTCTCTTGGGTCCACTGAGTAAACTCAGAGTGTGTTGGCAGTTTGAGCATCTTTCTGGGCAGCAAAACAAACTGCTTTGCTTATTTCATCTTTTGAACAAAAATAATTTCTTTAAACTGATTTTTAATTTTAAAAGGTGGAAGCCTCCTCCGTCTCCTCTGCTGGCTCTGTGCACCTTTTTAGTTTCAGAAAAGCATGCGGGGGACAGGTCTCTCTGGAAGCCTTACCTGGAGATCTTACCTAAGGCTTACACCTGCCCTGTTTGTTTGGAGCCAGAAGTGGTGAATCTTCTTCCCAAACCTTTAAAAGAAAAGGCCGAACAGCAGAGGGCCTGCGTGCAGGAGTTCTTTGCGTCTTCCAGAGACTTTTTCTCTTCCCTGCAACCTCTGTTTGCAGAGGCTGTTGACAGCATCTTCAGCTACAGTGCCCTCCTGTGGGCTTGGTGCACTGTCAACACCAGAGCTGTGTACCTGAGGTGCAGGCGGCAGGAATGCCTTTCTTCAGAGCCAGATACCTGTGCGCTTGCTCCATACCTTGACCTGCTGAATCATAGCCCACACGTCCAGGTGAGAAGCTGACAAGGGGACACATGTTCTGGTTTGATAGGAAGGATTCCAACATGTAGAACCCATGACTTTGAATAGTGAGCAAAACCATAGGGAGAGATTTAGCTGGCTTCAGATAAACCTGTTAGACCAACCTGCTGTCAGGTGTGCTCCTGTCTTTCTTCCTGACCCCATTGTCCCTCCTTTCATGCTTTTTCTTTGTCCCATTTCACTACTCTGCTCACCAGGCCTGCAGAGCTCTGTGCCATGTCCCCTGGACTGCCTTTATCAGCGACCTGTGGTGCGGAGTTCTCCTTCCTCCTTTCAGACGGGGACTGAGGTCTAGTTTGCTTCCTTGTCCCTTCACTTTACACTTGGTGGCATAACTGTCAGAGCATTTATCTTTGCTCTGATCACTCATTGACTTGCTCCTTCTCCCACTGAACTCTGAAGTTTCTGAGGGCAGGGACTTTGTCTTGTTGCTCTTTGTAACCCCAGTGCTCAGGGCAGGGCCTAGCACTTAGTAGGTGTTTAGTAAATGTTTACTGAATGGATGAATATTTGTGGGGAACAGGGTCTGGGAAATCATAAAAGAATCTCGTTTTGGGGTAGGATCACAGATCTCCTCTTCCCCAGTCGTTTCCCCACGTGACACATATAGGAGATGAATGTATTTGCAGGGCATGATGGGGTCAAGGCCTGGCTTGAGGGAAAAGAGGAGTCCATCTTTCAGCTCAACTGTCACCCATTTGGGGTACACTGTGGAGGCACATGGCTAAGATCTGTGCCTGTGTTGTCCCCTTCACATGACATGCCACCGTGAGAAGACTGATGACACCTTGTTAGCTCACATGCCAGGGAGCAAAGAGCTTAGGGAGGTCCTGCTATGCTTTCTTAGCCCCAGGACAATCCCCTGGCATGTTATTTTTGTAGAAAGATGCATTTTTAACAATCTGAAGCAAAGGAGCCTGAGGTTAGATGAGTTTGTCTGTGGTTGATGTTGAAATAATGTCAGGGCTGTGTAGGATGCTAGACTGAGGGATTCAGTCAGTCCCCATTGGTGTGACTTTATTTTTATTGGGGCTTTTGGTGCAATTATGCTTCAAACCAGAGATTTCATAGTCTACTACTGTAGGGGGACCACAGACTACGGCCTGTGGGCATGTGGCCAGAGGGCCTTGAGCTAAGACTGGTTTTTACAGTTTACAGGATTGTAATAAAACAACAACTCGCCACAGAGACCACATCGGGCTGGCAAAGCCTAAAATATGTACTCTCTGGCTTTTTACAGATAAAGCTCTTTGGCACTGCTATGTCTTCCTCCCCCAGGCGCTCAGTTTATGTGACTGATAAAGTGCTGTCGATCTCATCTGTCCAGTGTTGGGTGTCATGTGTTTGGTCATCCTCAGAACCCCAGAGCAGGACTCTCTCCCTCACCAAGGGGGTGAAGTTGAGGCAAAAGAAACAGGCTGAAGGGCAGGAGTGGCCTTTTCCCACATGTGGTTAAGTTCATTGATGAGTGTTTAAAAGCTGCACCTGACTTAAATTGATACAATAACTGAGTCAGCTGTTTAGTTTTATGCTTTGCTTTAAAAAACTCTAACAATTTTCCTTTCTAGGTAAAAGCAGCATTTAATGAGGAAACCCGCTGTTATGAAATTAGAACGGCATCAAGTTGTAGAAAACATGAAGAGGTATTCATCTGCTATGGCCCACATGATAACCACCGGCTGCTTCTGGACTATGGATTTGTTTCCGCTCGTAATCCTCATGCTTGCGTTTATGTCTCAAGAGGTTGGAATCAACTTTCTTCTTAATCATTAATATGATATAATTTTTATTCCCATTTAGAGATGTGGTTATTTTCAGTTCTAAAACCTTAAAACATACATATACATCGTTTATTTTCTCCTAGGTAGGGCTAGCCTTACTCCTACTGACTGTGTAATGTCAGTGTTAAAGTGAAAACAACAAAGCTCTGATTGATATTGAGGATAAGAAGAGAAAAGTTGTATTGCATTTGGTCAGAAGATAGAATGGAAGAAAAGGACATCTACTAAGGAAATAAGAATAGTATTAATAGAAGGAAATGGAAAGTTTTGTACTAAGACATTGTCACTGTCACTGAAGATGGGATAAGATTAGAGAGCAATGAGTAAAAAATATTTATTAAGCACCTACTATGTGTAAGACACTGTGCTAATCACAGAATAAATCTATTATGTACATAGTCCTTGTTTTTGGAGTTTAATGCCATGATGACATATTGATTTCACTTATGTTCTTTTGTTATCTATTAACCAGCCATCATTAATACTACTATTTTAAAATAAGAGTTTAGCCATTAAAGTTATGATGTAAAAATCCCAAATGTAGTATAAAAACAGTGTATAGAAGACTGATTTTTCCCCTGCTGAAGCAGCAGAGAGCAGTTTTCCAGGCCATGAAAAAATGGCCAGAGCTTTACCAAGTATGTGATTTGAATTATTTTTAATATAAGTTTGAATGGAAGTAGAAACTTGGTCAAAGTGATACTCCTGCATCCTGTAGACAGAATAATAAGGTTATTTCTCAAAATAAAAATAGGAAAGCAAAAACTGGGTCTTGCTGTGTCTCTTGGAAAGCTAGCTTTGACATTGGCCTCATATGAGGGCACTTCCAAAAATTCATGGAAAGATTTGTATTTTTTTTTTTTTTTAATTTTGTCAATATACACTGTATA